CAGGAAATGTAGCAAAAGTGGTAGGGCATAGATGACTGAATGACGTATATAAGTGGCAGGTCGTATGATGAAAATCGCAGCAATCATGTGATGTACAGCACGATTTTACGCCATTATCTATGTGCTCTTGCTGCCGCTTCGTTAACTTTGTATATACTGCCGTCAGTATGGCGTGACAAGTGTGCATGGCGACCCCAAGTGACTGGTCTTAACGGGCAAATCATGTCACGCTTGTCTTATGCAGCATGATTTATATGACGTGGCCTCTGATTTGTCAAAGAGATGTTTGAATGAATGAATGCCTGCCAGAAATTTTATGGTGAGATATTTGCGTATGACAAATATAAATGACAACTGGTGACATGGAATTAATTATCATAATATTATGTACGGCATGATCGACTTACTAATTGTCACTCTCATGGCGCAGTGGCCACCGGTTCGCTAGCTCGATATACACCAAAACTGATGTTGCGTGTCACGACTGTATGACAAACGCAAATATCAGGTCTAAACATGAAGACATGAATAACGTGCGTGTCATGTACTGCATCGGATCCAAAAGCCACGCTCATGGTGTGCTCGCGGCCTGTTCGGTATCTGGATATACACCAGCAATTGTATTGTGTCACGTGACTGTATGACAAATATTAAGGACAGGCGGTATCATGAAAATGATGGCATTCATCACATGTACTGTATGACTTACATGTCACGCTCAAGGCACACTCACGGCCGTTTCGCTAGCTTGGTATATACGAAGATTGGTATTTCGGGAGGCACAGATTAATGACGAACATGAAGAAGAGATGAGGAAAGGAAAGAAGCCATATTTTCTTGTCACAACCTATCGTTCATGTTCGTCGTTTAAGAGCGTACCACCATAGCAATTTTGGTTTATATCAAAGTAGCGAACCGGCCACTAGAGCACCATAAGCATGGTATGTGAATCATAGCTTACATAGCACGCAACATGTATTCACCTGTCACAGTCTGTAATTTATGCTCGTCATACAACCACGTCATGCATTACCAATGTAGGTGTATGTCAAGCTAGCGAACCGGCTGTGAGCCAGCCAAGATATGGGCATGTAAATGACGCCAACACTGGCATGCATGTCACGATTTTCAGTTTAGCATTTGTCATTTGTGTTCATCATACAGTCACCTCACGCGTTACCTCTTTTGGTGAATATCAAGCAAGCCAAGCGACCGTGAGCACACCGTGAGCACGGCACGTCAATTATTGTTGGACGTGATTCACCTAATGATTTTCATGTTTCCACCTTTCATTCATATTCATCATATATTCGCCTCTCAAAGTACCGATTTCTGTGAAAATCAAGCTGGGCAACCAGCTGCGAGCCCATCATGAGCCTGGCATGTAAATCAGGCTGTACATGAAATACATGTTACGATTTTCGTGTTAGCACTTGTTACACAGACGTATCTGGTCGAAAGAAATTTCGGTACATATTGATTTAATCAAAAGACCGCGAGCGCGCCGAGACACAATAAAGCGAGGCGAGCGAGCTGGATCATTCATGTGGCGAAGCTCGTCAAGAGTGCACGGTGGTGAGAGATGAGGAACGCGGTACTTTCCCAGTTGGACTGGCTCGCTGGATTTCGTGCCAACCGGTTGTGCCCTCGCGATCTCCGACGACAGTACAGCTACTGGGCTGGTCCTACGCCATCTCCTGACGCCGATCCCCGAAGACGACGACAGCGTATAGCTCGGGCCGACTGGACTCGCCCTACGCCATCTCCTGTCGCCGACAAGAGCTCTCATCGAGTATTGCCCTGTCTTCGGAGTCGTGTGAGAGCCGCTATGCGGATTTTGAGCTGTCGGTTGTGTTTCTGTCGGCGCCATCGGCGCACTAGGCTGTGCCGAGCCTCCCAGAGATGCCGACTCAAACTGGGTAGAGCGCTGCAACACTGCCGCCCCACAGATGTCAAGCCGCAACACCTGGCGTCTCTTTAGGGCTCGCATCGACCCTAGCCAAACACGCACAGAAACACAGAAACACCTTCAGCGCGCGCTTCACGCCTATGCGGGTGACGCGGAAAAATTGGCACAGGCTCTCAGAGACAAATATCTCTGTAGCCAACAGGACCCCATCGGACCGGCGTATTCATATGCAGGCACGGAAAACGCCGAGTTGGATCGTTGCTTTCAGCTCCACCATCTGAAGGCGGCCCTGTCCAAAATGAAACGAGGCACAGCGCCAGGTCGGGATCGAGTGACGGTTCGGCTCCTAGCCAACCTTCCTGACTCGGCGTACATTCACCTCGTCGACTACTTCAATCAGATCTGGGAGGGGCGCGAACCCCTACCGCTCGATTGGAAAACGGCCTTAGTAACTTTCATCCCTAAATCAGGCAAATCTGTAAACATCGACAATCTCAGACCAATTTCCCTAACCTCATGCGTAGGGAAACTTATGGAAGCCATAGTCCGGGACAGGCTCTCTGAATACTTAGAGGCCCGACACACTTTTGCAGACACTATGTACGGCTTCCGCCCACATCGCTCTGCTCAGGACATCCTCCTGCAACTCCATCGTGACGTTGTCGAACCGGTCGAACATCCCAGTGACGACAAGGTAGTCCTCGCCTTAGATCTCAAGGGAGCTTTCGATAACGTTACCCATGACATCATCCTTACCAACCTATCACAAACAAACTGTGGGCATAATGCTTTTAGGTACGTCCGCCGATTCCTCATAGAACGGCAGACATACCTGCGTATTCAAGACAAGGAGCATGGACCGTACCCCCTCGGTACGCGCGGAACATCACAGGGAGCAGTCCTCTCTCCTCTTCTGTTCAATATTGCCATGGCTCACCTTCCCTCATTGCTAAACGATGTCCCAGGTGTGCAGCACGCTCTGTACACCGACGACATCACACTATGGGCAACTCACGGTTCCCTTGGTAGCATCGAGACATGCCTGCAACATGCCGCGTCGATAGTTGACAGCTACGCCCGCGGCTGCGGTCTCGAATGCTCACGCACCAAATCAGAATACGTGGATCTTCGCCCCAAACCGAACGACACGACACAAATTGAACTCACCTTGTGTAACAGGGCCATTCCGGAACGCGACGAAATCAGAGTCCTGGGACTCTTCATACACAAACACCGCAAAATTGACACCACTCTGCGCAAACTACGCACTGTGGGGGATCAGGTGGGCCGCATGATCCGCCGGGTTTCGAACAAGCGAGGAGGTCTCAAGAGCCGTGCTGCTCTGCGCCTCGCCAACGCTTTCGTGACCAGCCGGATCCTTTATTCTACACCTTACCTGCGTCTGCGTAAATGCGACGAGAATACACTAGACTGTATACTCCGCAAAATTTACAAACGTGCCCTAGACCTCCCCATCTCAACGTCGAACCAACGTCTCGCAGACCTGGGCATGACAAACACGTACGGGGAACTTAAAGAGGCTCATCTCAATAACCAGTGCCTGCTCCTTAGTAGGTCTCAGGATGGGAACAACCTCCTACACCGCCTCCACATTTCCAACACCCACAAGGTGGAAGAGCGTACCGCGATCCCCGAGGATTGGCGTGGTGCACTGATCATTCCGCCTTTGCCCCAAAACATGACAAATGGGACTCACGATGGGCGGCGTATAGCGCGGGCTACAGCCCTGCAGCAACGGTACGTCTCACGCCCGGGGGTCTTCTACACGGACGCATCCGGCCCCCACCATGGCGGGTGGTACACGGCCGCTGTGGTTCACCAAAACGTACCTATTCAAGGGCTCACCTTTCGAGCACCGGACATCACACACGCGGAGGAGGTCGCCATAGCCCTCGCCGCAGCGGACTCCGCATCTCGGATAATTATTACCGATTCGCGGAGGGCGTGCCAAAATCTCACACGGGGTTGCATCAATGATCGCGCCGCCGAAATCCTTAAGCGATGCTATTATCTAGATCGCCCAAATCCACGCACCGTCATCTGGACTCCTGCTCATACGGGGCTAGTTGGAAACGAGGCTGCAGATGCCTCGGCCCGCGCGCTTAATTACCGGGACCCGCCTCGCCCTCCATCGCCTGATGTTCCAGAACCCAATCCGGCTACCTCTTTCAGAGAAATCACCGCTATGTACAAATCGAACAGGCTCCGCTTCCCACCCCCAGCATCGGGCCGGGAGGCTGCCCTGCTCGGTTGCTCGACCCTAGAGGACCAGCGTGCCCTAGTGGCCCGAGCGCGTGCTGCAGCAGAAGCCACAGGGGTCCCGGACTAGGGACTCCTCCTAGATTTTCTAAGGGGCCGGCCCTTAAAGCCGTCCCCAACTCACTCCTGTCAACTCAGTGAATAAAGTTTACTGCCTACCTACCTGTCTTCGGACTCCTGCGACCGTTTCCATCTTCCCTATCTTCTCTTTACTTTCGTCGCTTGCCGTTCCTGCGCCTCGCTCTCTCCTTCCTCTCTCTCTCTATATATATATCTTTTAATCCTATCCTTTTAAACCCTCCTTACCTCCATCCCTTCTGAGCTACTGTTGAGGTGTCGCACCTGATGCAGACAGTTACGGGGCCCACTTTTCTCTTTTTTTTCCTTAAGAACCACATATGAAACATTACCGCTTCCAGTGATCTCATTAAACCTCACATGTTATCGTGAGTTCGTGCTTGTCCTGTGTATACTTATGCTCTCGTTTCGTGCGTGTCTATTTTTGCTTGAGCAGCACGCTCCGAGTGCCGAGCTGGGAGAGTTATTAGTTTGCGCTCGTCCTGTGTATGTTCTTTTCGTGCGATATATCTGCTTGAGAAGTGAACTGGAAGTTTCGAGCTGTTTGCCGTTCTTCGCGTGACATTACGATTTGTTGCTATAGCATTCACTCCTGTGCCTTTGTGGCGAAACAATGCATAATAAACGCTCAATGACCTCTGGGAACACACGTTTAACTTTCGTTTTTTACCGATTTCTATGACAGAGCTAGGAATCAGTCATGTTTTCCACCCCTCTTTTTTGTTTTTTTCAGGTACGAGTATGCAGCCGTAAGTGGAGAAAACTACTTGGAGAGGAGGCTCGACAACGGCGGTATGAAGCATATGGCGACATATAAGTCATTTCGTTTTATTTAGAGCAGATGATTTCGGGCTTAAAATTCTCGTTTTTATGCTTCAAGGGAGGTTGTTCAGCTCACACGCTCATAGCGCGATCGTCCGTGTCGATCTATTACAGCCAAATCCCAGTCTATGATAGTGGACACCGACAACTGCAAGTACCTGGTTCAGCGAGAGTGCTACGACGATGGTTCCGGTACGAATCGCGGAAATTCACTTGCTAAGGCGTGCAGCAATGGCACGTACACCCTTGAGCAAGCGTACACGAACCATTACTATCCGTATACTTTTACCGTCTGCATAGCGCAGTGGTGAGCCGTGTATACTCTCGTGGCCACCTTCTCGACAGATTCCATGAGAGCAGTGTTCTTGACAGCTGACGGCTGTTCACTAGAGGGCGTAGACAGCGATGTCAGCACGCCCCACCATGGTCCGTATACTTATGCTCACGGGTGTACGTGATGCCCACTTCATATTGTCAAAAACACAACCACGATTCTATTGTCAACGCGTGAAGAAAGAAAGAAAGCAAAGAAAGAAATTAATAAAAAAGAAAGAAAGAAAGAAAGAAAGAAGGAAAGAAAGAAAGAAAAAAATAAGTCATTCATATACTCATAAAGCTTCCAGGTCGTGTGCTTCAGCACTTGAATGCTCACAGGCTTGCGAAATTTAGTTAGTTCAATTATTCGTTTTTCGTAGCAGCAGTGTCAGTAGTCATTGGGGTGGTGTCCTCAGCCAATTATTTATTTATTTATTTATTCAACAACAACAACTACTACTACTGTAGTAGTAGTAGTAGTAGTAGTAGTAGTAGTAGTAGTAGTAGTAGTAGTAGTAGTAGTTGTTGTTGTTGTAGCACTTTTTACACTTTTTCTACATCGAGTAACACTTTTTTTTACATCGAGTAAGATTTTACCAATTCTTATCAGCCACCAGGAACCAGTCAGCTGATCCTGGCAATAATGAAGGCATCGCGTCACCGCTCAATGAATTTGCAGGCACGAAAAAGAGAAAAAAAGAACAGGCCACAACCACCAATTAGAATTAAAACTTCTTTGTGCATGAAATAACCCGGACTGCGGGGACCATTTAGTGTCTATAATTGAGCGCTCGAGGTACCGTCAAAATTATGATTTTCAATTATCGGCAAGAAGAACAACTTTGAGCTTCCTTACTGGCATGTTGTTGTCGTATTACTATCTCACGGTAAATATTCATTTGGAAAGTCGGCCTTGGATTCAGACTAGGACTGCCCATCCCCCCTTGCAGTGTGGCACTACGTGACGTACAAGGAAACCTGGACGCAACCCGAAATCGACCACTTCATCGCGCGTGTCCAGACCGAGCCAGCACTTCACTTCCTCAGACCGTACTCGTTCATGTGCCAGCTGGGAATACCATGAGATAGCATCGCTCATCATTGTACGGGGACTGACGTGTCATATTCTTTGTTTCGAAGCTCGTAGGGAGAGAGAAAAGAGTAAAACAACAAAATACAGTATTGTGCGCCGTTTGTATCCTTTACAGGTGAGGAAGCAATATCTTTAAGTGGTAGTGGTGACCTCTTTGTTCCGTGCATTTCATTTTAAAAAGAAGAGGAAATAAAAGCTTAATCATTTTAAAAAGCTTTTCGTCCACTCCATTCTCATTACTCATTTGCGGCGCAGTTGCGTCTTATGTACTCCATCTGTTCCCTTGGAACTTGTTTGTTCATCCTGCTCATGCACTTTCCTAATGCGGTGCGATTCCTTTCAGTTTCTTAAATCACCGGTTGTCACAAATAGAATAGTTGTGTGTACTATAAATGGGTTTAAACGTGCTTACTGTTGTCATATAAAGTTATACAAATGAGTGAGTGAGTGAGTGAGTGAGTGAGTGAACAACATATTACAGGAACCAGGTAGATTTGTGATTAAGAAATATTCAACGCAACAGTGACTCGTTACATATTAAGCTACCAGGTTGATATTTATGAACAATTAATGGTACTTGCTTAAAAACCCAGCTGGTGTGCCATCTGGCGCAGTACTGTATACGCTATGCTACCGATTTCTCAACATTGTTTCCGCATACAGACTCGTGGACCGACTGAACTGACATGCGGCTTGAAGCAACAACACAGCTGGGTGACCTCATTCCTTACTTATCTTTGAATTTTTCATCAAACTATTCCCCGCACTGCACCCCCGGCAACTTCAGCCGGAGCTGTAGATACTGCCCGGACTCTGAAAACACCCTGTACCGCATGGTATGGGGATGTCCAAACAACTCAAGTATCCCGCCCATAGACGTACCGAGCGTACAAGGAAATCCGGAAGACCAGAGGCAGGCGTTGTTTGTCACAAAAACGCAAGGACCAGCTGCCGCTGGTGGCAAGAGCTGTGGTGTCGGCTGCAAGCCGACAGGATGTCACGCACCTCTGAGCGAATGAAGCGCACGCCTGGTCACACAATAAAGTTTAATTCTCTCGCTGTTCTCTATTTTTTTTCGTGTATTTCTTTTTTCGTGTATTCGTTTCATGTATTTCACGCCAGCAGGCAAGAACGGTGATCCACACTCGCCGCAACGACAGCAGGTGGCGCCGACTCACGCTCCCATGTTTACATGCACATATACAGATGCCCTATAAAGTGGACGCAAGAATGACCGCCACCGTTGCTCAGTGGTAGAGCATCGGACGTGTTATTTGGAAACCACAGGTTCTCATTCGGCCGGTGGCAAATTATCGTTTATTTTTCTCGTTTATATTACAATCACTTCTGACGTCATCTCCCTTTCTTTTTCTTGGCATCGTCGTAGGTTAGATTTCTTTAATATTGTGTTTAACAAAAAAAAAAACCGAGCTTAAACTTACACTTCTGTCCTTCAAACTAACTTGGGGTTTCCTAAAAAGTTATTCCAACAAATATTACTCGTACTTGTTGGCTGCTGTTGCACCTTACGGTACCGCGACAGTTTGAAATCCTTCGGGTAGCGCTCATAATATGCTTGTCTATATTGTACAAAAGAAAAAAGCGGAAAAGTCCCCGCCACAATCACTGGTACCAGAGCCATTCAATGTTTCTTAGGAGCATTGAATGACCTTGCTCCTACTATGCCTATACATGACCATAGGCACGGAACAAAATAGAACCCAAAATTATCGACTCCGTGCCTTTTTCACCGATCAGTCAGTCGTTTGACGGATGAATGATCCGCTGAAGAACTCACTTTGGAGCATTATTCAATCGGAAGCGTCCGGGAAGCGTCAACAGAGTCCATCCGCCACGTGACGCGACGAGAGCATGGAAAATTTCAACGTAACAGTGACCTGGACACGCTAAACACTGTGTAGATAACCTTTTGGTGGCGAAGCTACTTATAGCATCACCTAGTCTTGTAGTCGATCAGCGTCGCTCAATCTGGCGTACCTCCCCAGTAGCGTCACCCTTATCATTCAACAGAAGAACCGCGAAGGGAAGAGAGGTCGATGGTACACGGTTTTGTAGAAACACATCTTAGGGACATGGAACAACCTCTTAGCAACGCGGACTATGCGTGCGAATATTGTAATAGAACAGAAGGCAGCAGAAAGGGAGGTGTATTGGGGCATTCATTCATAAAAGTACCGACTGGCAAAGGGTCAAACAGGAGTGCAAGGAACATTTATGGCTAAAATAGAAAGTGGCAGGGCAAATAATACTTCTTGGTTTGGTGTACTTGTGGACGGGAGCAAAGGCCAGAGAGGAAAACCAAGAAATGATGGAGTGTATATCAAAGGACATTGAGGAATTAGGAGGAGAGTGCGAGATAATTATACTAGGAGATAAGAATGCGCATATAGAAGATATAGATTGGTATACCGACCCAACAGGCAAAATGATCATAGATATGAGTGAAAGGCATGATTTGATCATTTGCAACAGTACCGAGAAGTGTGAAGGGCAAATAACATGGGAGGTAGGAAGGCTGCAGTCGACGATAGATTACGCACTGATGTCACATAGGATGTATGATAGGCTCAGGGGAATGCACATAGATGAGAGTGGCTCCAGAAGTCTGGGTAGTGATCACAAACGTATCAAGCTAAGTTTTAGAGGAGCAGAGAAAGTGGGAAGGAGACAAGATGAGCAACTACAGGAAAATTTTTATTCAGAAAGGCAAATAGAAATAGCTATTAAACAAATTGAGAAAGCAATCAATTAAGATAATAACACAGTGTGAACATACACGAATATAATTAGACTGTTTGAGGTATAGCTTGCTAAGGCACGTGACAAGTCACGCCTGGAAAAGAAGACAAACTCAAGAGTTGGTGGGATGAGGAAATTAAGCGAGCCATAGCAAAACGTCAGGAAGCCTCTAGGGAACACAGACATGCTAAGCAGCGGGGTGAACCGACAGATGATGTTGAAAGAAAATCTTTCTAAGCTGTAGAAGGGATGCATCTCTTCTGATCAATGAAAAGATTAGATGAAAGGGAGCTCAGTGGCTGGCAGAAGTACATAAAAAAGATAGAAAGGCAGCTGTGAAATTTCGGAACCATCTAAACTCCCTAAGAAATGAGACGAGCCTAGAGCAGAAGTTTATAACTACAGCTCAAGGTGCTAGGCTAGAAGGGGACGAAGCTATTGATTATATAATAACAAGGGTGACAAAAAGTTTCAACAAAGAAGTGCTTTATGCACCACAATAGACAAGGATGAATCAAGTGGCGCAATGGCTCCATTTTCACAACGAGAGTGGGAAAGGGCTGAGAAGAGAGTTCCTAGTAGTACATCAACAGGCCCAGATGACATTCCAATTATGCTGATAAAGACATTAGGTCCGAAGTCTAAGCAGGCTTTGATAGAGGCAGTGAGCAAAATAATAACCGATGGTGAAGTCCCAGATGGATGGAAACTTAGCAGGATAAGCATGATCTATAAAAGAAAGGGGGACAAAGCTGACATAAAGAACTACCGGCCTATAACAGTGAAATCAGTGGCCTACAGGCCGGCGATGCAGATTATAAAGGAAAGACTGCAAGCATAGATAGAGGATGAGGGGGTGCTGGGGAACTGCAGAATGGGTTTCGGAGACACAGGAGGTTGGAAGACAATCTGTTCTCACTGACGCAGTGCATCGAAATGGCAGAAAAGGAACACAGACCCCTGTGGCTAGCCTTTTTGAATATCAAGGGAGCGTACGATAGCGTGGTTCAAGAAGACTTGTGGGGAATACTGGACACACTGGGTGTGGAAGATGGAGTCACTAATCTTTTAAATGACATCTTTAAAGGTAACAAGGTAGTTATGAAATGGGAAAAACAGGTATCCAATCCTACAGAGGTAAAGCGGGGGCTTAGGCAGGGGTGTCCTCTGTAACCCTTGTTATTCATAATGTACCTACAAGGATTAGAGGCCAAATTAGAGGGAAGTAGACTTGGCTTCAACCTCTCTTTCGTCAAATAAGGAAAACTCATTAAACAGGCACTACCAGCATTGATGTACGCAGCTGATATAGTGCTAATGGCCGACCACAAGGAAGATTTGCAGAGATTGATGGACATCTGCGGTAATGAGGTTGATAGGTGAGATTTGAGATTTAGTGAAGAAAAATCAGCAGTCATGACTTTTAACGATAATGAAGGTAGTGAGCTTAGAATACAGGAGGTCACGCTAGGGATAACAGATAAATACAAATATCTGGGCGTATGGATAAGCAATGGGACCGAGTACATAAGGGAACACGAAATATATGTGACGACTTAAGGTAAGAGGAATGCAGCAGTGATGAAAAATAGGGCACTGTGGAATTAGAATAGGTATGATGTCATGAGAGTAATATGAAAAGGGGTCATGGTTCCTAGTCTGACGTTCGGCAATGCGGTCTTGTACATGAGATCAGCAGTTCAAGCAAGATTAGAAATTGAGCAACGTGGAATAAGTAGGCTCGCCATAGAAGCTCGCGGGATTTGATTGATTGATATTTGGGGTTAGCATCCCAAAACCACTATATGATTATGAGAGACGCCGTAGTGGAAAGCTCCGGAGATTTCAACCGCCTGGGGTTCTTTAACGTGCACCCAAATCTGAGTACACAAGCCTACAATATTTCCGCCTCCATCGGAAATGCAGCCGCCGCAGCCGGGATTCGATCCCGCGACCTGCAGGTCAGCAGCCGAGTACCTTAGCCACTAGACCATCGCGGCGGGGCAAGAGCTCACGGGAATGCACCAAATTAGGAAGTACAAGGTGATATGGGATGGACATCATTTGAGGGAAGGGACGCTAGCGGCAAGATAAAATTTGAGAAGCGATTGAGAGAAATGGGGAAAGAACGTTGGGTAAGGAAGGTTTTCAATTACTTGTACATGAAGAATGTCCATACAAAATTGAGGAAGCGAACCAGAATATTGACGGGCAAATACTTAGAAAACAGC